TGCTCGTAGTGCCGGTCTTATCACGGCGGGTGAGTTACTGTAATCAAGCCAACGCTTTTAAAGTGGCACTTTATTTTGCGAACTCCTACCTTTCAGAGGTGCTCTGCTTTTGAAATGGAACAAATTTTCATGGCGCTTGTCAAAGCTTTTTATTTACAGGTTTGGGAACTCTTCCTGTTTTGGGAGTAGTGTCTCCGAATCTCGATTTCGCTGCTATGACCACTACATTTGCTCTGGCTGGAATAGTAGGTAAGCGATTTCCCAGAGAGAAAGGATGCCTTTTTTGATGGGCTGAGGGCAAAGTTTTGGGACAGATTCGATCTTGGAATCGACACCTGGACCAAGCGTCCCTTATCAGCCTTACTTATTTTAATATTGCTACTGAGATTTAATAGAAGTTATTGGAATTACTTTTTCTGTCTCGATCTGTTTCTATGGTAATTCCATAGACTTTTCCAGGTTACCACACTGTATGGGGAGTAACTCCTGCTCTTCATTCTCCATTGATGTCTGTGACAAATGCCATCTCTGGGACCACCGCCGCCGGAGCTCTTTGCCTTATGGGAGGTCTGAACCACTTTTATAAACATGAACTGTGAAGTAGTAAATATTTTCTGCTAATTAGTAATTTTACTAAACTGTAGGAGGCCTACTACCATCAACCCCAGCCCAGTCGCTTGCTCTTGGAGCCGCATTCATCTCATCAATTAATATCGGTGGAGGTTTTCTGATTACAAAGCGAATGTTGGATATGTTCAAGCGGCCAGGTGATTGTTGTGTATATTTGTTTTGTAAACAATCAGTAAAATATTGATTTAACGGTGAAAAATGTAGTTACCGTAGTCAGTATTGTACTATAAAACGAGAGCGGGTACAGAAATTATTGATTTTTCCGCTTGAGACTCTCCGTAGGTAAAAACAGTGGTTACAGCCATGCCTAGTGAAAATTCTAGGGATAGACTGTAATTGTAAATACCGATTACCTTTTTATCAAATTGGCTTACTTCTAGGTGATCCACCGGAGTACAATTATATGTACGCAGTACCAGCTGCACTATTCCTCGGAGGTTATTTCTATGGTTTACAAACGGTTAGCAGGTTTTATTTATCCATATTTACGAAACAAAAAAGTCAGATTAGTACCTTGATTGACCTCCAACACCTCTTGATCGTCATAGTTTTCAGGGTGCACCTTCGGCACATTCTCTTGCGTACCTTGGCTCATCTCTCTGTTGTGTAGGTGCCTTAGGAGGACTCTCAAGCCAAAAAACATCACGTGTTGGTAATGCGTTAGGTAAGTTTACTTTATTTATAGCCATCTGGGTAACTTATGTTGGCACTGTAGTGAAATTTAATGAAATACTTTAAAATTCATTTGGAACTCTTCGGGGGGCTGC